CCCCGTCTCCAGCTCTGGAGGCAGCCAGGGCTGCCGCTGCCGCAGCCAAAGGGCGAGGACACCATGTAAGCACTTAAAACAAGCATAAGAAACGTTCCTCCGCTGCTGTGGCACGCAGCTTGCCTGCATGTAGAGCAAGAAGCTGCTTGTGCTCGACTGAGAGCCAGTAAGTGACCGAGGGCGAAAGAAGGACTGGTCCGGGCGGGCATGGGAGGTGACCAGCACCTCACCAGCAGGAGCCCCACAACGCGGGGGAATTCGCAGGGCAGAATGAAGACTCGCAAGCAGGGCCCCTACGCCGAAGCGACCACGCCAGCAGGGGTGATGAGGCTGAGCCTACCCAAGGAACAGTACCAGAACCACCAAATTTGGGCACGGACGTAACAGAACTGTGACTGCGAGGCTGACCTGCAGACCCGAGTCTGTGGGGACCCCGAGGGAACCTGCGTGGACACCCCACCCTGACGGATCTGGCTGCCAGACAGGGAGAGAGGGGTGGGCCGGCCCCCCAACGCCCTGCGACGGGGAGGGAAAGGAGACGCTCACCTTCAGCGTGGCCAGCCCCATCCAGATGTAGCCGGTGTCGGTGAAGAGCGCCAGGCAGCGGTAGTTGAAGGAGACGGCCATCTGCAGATAGGTGCCGGCGGAGGGGCTCATGCCAGGGGGGGTCTGGGACGGGAAAAAGGAGAGGGTGACGCCTGGGGGGCACGCTCTGGGGACACAGGACGTGCTGCATGCCGGCACCGAGGCTGCGTAAGGGGCTGAGGGCTGGTCAGAGCTGGGGTATCCCTTCCCGCCCTGCGCCTGCTCAACCCTCACCCCTTTGCCCCCGGCCAGGATGGGCCCAGGTGTCTCTGCTGTACCCGCCCGCCCGTGGGACAGTGGCGGGAAGGACCTGGCAGCGAATGCGGGGGGCTGCAGCCCGCCCTGCTCCCTGCGGATGCCCGCCATGGCTCACTCACCACCACAGAGCAGGAGGTGTTGTCCAGGAGGTAGAGGTCCTGCCCGACCGCCAGCAGGACGATGGTGACTCTGTCCTGGGACAGCACGGCCCAGCAGGAGGGCGGCTTCTGCAGACCTGCCGGGCACCAGCGTCAGGCCCCTGTGCCCGGCCGGAGCACAGGGCAGCGGGGAGGGGACGCACCGGGAACTTCGGGCATCCTGCGCAGCTTCAGGTCGTCGATGTTGGTGGTCAGGGAGAAGCGGTGCGCCCCGGTGAGGATGGCCACGCCGGTGCCGTACTCTGTGTGGAAGACTTTCGCCTCCAGCACGTGGTTCTGCAGCACCTCCTGTGCCACGGAGAGAGAGCTGGGCCCGGGCTGGGGCTCGGCACCGCGCTGCCGCTACTCTGGGAATGAAACTGCCTCGGGGAGGAGCGAGCCCAGCCCTGTGCTGCACTGACGCAGGTGTCCCAACTCAGACAGGCCTCGCTCCGGCAGCGAGGAGGGGATCATTCTGGCCCCAGGGGCCACAGGGACAGTTGCCAGCTCGTTCCTGAAGGCAGGCAGCCCTGCAGGGAGGCTGGGAGAGCCCCAGGCTCCCCACCGTGGCCCACGGGGCTGGGGGAGTGCTCAGCTCACTTCTCCGTCACACAAACCCAGCCCCAGGCATCTCTTGCACTCCCCATCCCACCCCACTCACGTTGCCCATGCTGAAGTGGCGCTTGAACTCGCAAAAGAGGTTGTAGATGAGAACGGTGCCATCCTCCTGGATGCACAGCAGGTCCTCGCTGGCCGTCCAGCCCAGCTGCACCAGCTGGCCGCTCTTC